TTTTAGGGCCGACCCAATTTAGGAGAATATTAAAAATTCACATGGACGGCCTTTTGTTCCATAAATACTCATGGGTTTATATGCTGAGTTAGGAATTCCATAAATAACTTCGTCGGCTTCAATGAACTGTTTTCTAATAAACCATAAATAGTGGCCAATTTCAATTTTTTTTTATATGTTGGTGGGCTTTCGAACATCTTGTCATGAATAGTGGCCAATTTTAATTTTTTAATTTTTTATATGGGTATTCTAGGTTCTTGATTTAGACTAATCTGATTGGTAGTTTGTGGGTGCAAAGAGAATATACTTCTCACCAAAAATTTAATCGTCATTGTATACCCAAAACTTGAACTTGAAACCTTCAGTTAAATTGAATTAATTCTCTAATCAGTTAATCCAAGTGCGTTGTTATATATATATATATATATATATATTTTTGATAGTATGAACATCTCACGCCTATGCAATTCCAATGCCACGGAGAGGCCTTCGACATTGGCGAATTGGAAAAAGGCCCAAGCCTTAAATAGCCCAAGTATCTACTGGGCCTAGCTCAAACACCTTTTGTTTTCTGATTATTTTATGTGAGAGAGAGAGAGAGAGAGAGCGAGCAATGATTGTGCTTTTGGAGTTGAAGAGGTTACTTCAACCACAAGAAAGTGATGGAGCAATTTCGTGTTGGGCAAACAAAAGAAGAAATAAAGGACAACAAAATCATCAATATAGTTTTTTTTTTAATTTATATATACATTTTTTATTAAAAAATGTAAAATATTTTTAATTGAATCTCAGTCTTAATAAAATAATTATTTATTTTTAAATTAATTTTATTTTTTATATTTATTCTTATTAAATACTCTACAATAAAAAATATCTTAACATCTAACTTTTTAAAAAATAATTTATATTTTTAAATTGAGGGAGTAAGTGATATTCCTTCTATTTAAAAATATAAGATATTTTTAATCAAATCTCATCCCTTAATAAAGTAATTATTTATTTTCAAACTAACATCATCTTTTCATATTTACCCCTATAGTGTTTCACACTAAAATAAATATAAAATAATTTATTCAATAGGGTACTTTTCAAAAAAAAATAATAATTTTAAAAGATTAAAAATACTTTATTTTTTTAAGCATTTAATATTTTAAAAAATACTTTATATTTTTAAATGAAGAGAGTATATACGATTTGTCTCATACTTCATGGGACATATAAAATTTAGTTCAGTTACTACAATTCTTGTAAGAAAAACATATAACTATTATTTTATCATTTTTTTTGCTTCTATTATAATAAAACCACTAGTATTGCAAAAAATAACAGGAGATATTGTTCTGAAAAAAATGTTTAATTTATTTAAAAAAGATACTGAAACATCGGAAACTTCCTGCCGTGGCGTATGTGATCTGCTTGTAAATAAATAGGACATCCAATAAATAACAAGCTTAATTACTTGACATTTTAATGTTCTTGTTTTTATTTGGTAAACACAAACGATGAAAGCTATCTGACAGTTTAGCGTAATTAATTGTAGCTGCAAATGATTGACTTCAAAATTGGATAACTCTCAATTTGAAGCATAATTTATACCCAAATGTCATCATCATTATATATTCATATGTTGCCAGTTTGAACCATTCAAATCCGGCGGCTATTGAGAGTTGAGACTGTGACCCATCTCAGTAAGGATAGAGACAAAAGGGTCCCAAAATAAATTATTCCTATTAATTAATATTACTTTATATATACTTTATAGAAAGTTTTGCACTAATTATATAATATAGCTAATTTATTAATATTTATAAAATACCCAAGACTCACGGTGAGTTGATTTAAGCATTAGTTTGGTTTTATAATGAAATTCCAATAAAAATTATTGAAGAGAGCATGATTGATAATTATAAATATATTGGTATCAATGTTTAGCCGTATAAAAAATATTCACACCTAATTTAATTATAACATTGGAATATAAATATTACATCAATTTAAACATATATTATTATATATATTTGTGTACTAAAAAAAAAAGGTTACTTGAACACATGTATCACATCATAAATTGTCTGAAAAATTGGTTTATTGTAACTTGTTTATATATTGGTTAAGACTTAAGAATATACTTAAACTCATATATTTAATATATTTTTTATTAAATCAAATTAAGACATGTAGATTTTAATACATTAATAATATCAATAATAATATTTTGTTATAGATTAAGTAGTTTATAAAAGATATACATATTTTAATTTAATTAGAAACAACAATCTTAAATATATAAGACTAAGTTTATAAATTTTTTTTATATGTTATATATTAGAAAAGGCTTTTGGTTAACACTTATTTGTGACTTTAATTTTTGAACAGAAAGAGAGTACATGTTGTTTTTAAGTTTTACCTTCACTGTCAGCTTGTCATAGATTGACGGCTCACAATATCATTGTATCTGAAGGTTTTATATATATTTTTTTCATTTAAAAGTATAAAATATTTTTAATTAAATTTTATTCTTTAATAAAGTAATTATTTATTTTTAAATTAACTTTATCTTTTTATATTTATCCTTATTAAACACTCTATAATAAATATAAAATTATTATTAATAGAGATATTTTTTTAAAAAAGCAATGATTACATGTCGAAAGATTAAAAATGCCTTACATTTTTAAATATTAAACTTCTCAAAAAATACTTTATGTTTTTTAATAGAAGGAGTAGGAAAGTGGCATACGAAGACCTTTTAAAATGTTATTACATTTAAGGACTAAAAGTTATTAAAAATCTCAAAAAGAACCATAGGATAGACTGAAATTTAAAATAAATGGAATTGACTAAACTATTTTTTAATTAAAAACATCGAAATATTGCTTTGTAATATAAAACATTTCTATATTATTCATAAATAAGGGTATAATATAAAGATGGTCATAAACATTGGTTTCTACTTCTTCTGCTTGTTTTTTTTTTTTTGAAATTCAGATAAGTAATATTTACAATAAAACCATTATAATCAAATGAAAACAAAGTAAAGCCATGAAATACAAAAGAAAGATACAGACAACATCAACCTAGAAATTAGAAAGGTCCCCATTGCTAAATTGTGGTTTATGCAGATGATAAGTTTTAATGTTCATGTAAGAATAATACGTAACTAGCTCAAAAATTAATCCATATGAAAATTTTAAAAGCACGGTGAGCAAATAAATATAAATAAGTTCAATGAGAAGTATCCTATAGGATTTCTTGTTTTTTGAATTACAATGACCAGACGCAAGGTAACAAAGTACAACTAATTAATGACAAAAGAAGAAATTCTTTCATCATCCATGGCTTCAATACAATAAGGGGGTGGTTGATATTAAAGCTAGTGATTAAGGTTAACCTAAATCTAAAAGGTTAAAACTTAAATAGGTTAGGATACTATTAAGTCTGATTACACCTTAGGTTTTTTTTTTTTTTTTGCAAAGCTTAGTTTTGACCCTTAAAATTGGAGAGTGTTTCTGCAAGGCTCAGCCCTATTTTTTTTTTCAATTTAAAATTTAAAAAAATTTATTTGTAATTTCAAAAAGAAGTTATTACATATAAAGTCTACGAAAATAAATTTAAATAAATTCACATCACAACTATAAACAAATATGTAAAACTTAAGCATTCAAGTTTAATATCAAAATCAATACTAATAAAAATTAGACTTTGTTAATATAATTGGCAAAATCTTAAAGATCATCATCATCATTATTATCAATATTAATATAATTTTATCTTTCTTTTTGTAGAGCGTCCATGGTGATAAATATATTAAACTTTTAATTAGTCTTTATTTTTTTTAAACTAAATCTTTTTTTTTTAAATAACATGGCTTAAAGGGCCAACCTCAAATTATCATTTTTTACTCTAACATAATGGCCCAACTCTTATTATTTTCGGATTTAAAAGAGTTAATTCAATAAGCTTGGCCCTAATTGTAAGCTTTAGGGGATATTCTTTAGGATTTGAAAGACTGAAGTTCTTGTAGCTTTGTTTTTGAAAAAAAATCATGTGCATGAGTTATAATAAAGCAATGAAAGTGCAAGCAAACAAAAATATATAAATGAAATACATAAACAAGACTTAAAAACCAGCAAACAAGCAGACACCAAATGCTCCAAAAAAGACATAGATGTAAATAAAAATTTTCTATTCAAATGACTTATGTTATAAAATGGACGGAGTAAAAGCACTAGGGGTAGATTGGGAATGAATATGTAATGTTTAATAAATAAAAGATTATTTTTCCGAAAGAAAATATGAAATATAACTGTCTTATTTTCTTCTTTTTTTGATATTACCATCTTATTTTTTTTTATACACGCACAAACACTTCTTTTCATAAAATATTTTTTTTGTGTGTACCAAACATTGCCATGAAATATTTGTTAGGAAAAACAAGGTAACCTAGTTAAGAACTTTGACATTTTAATCAGTTCAATTCATTTTTAATTTCAGTAAAAAACGATGGACCCGTTAGAAATTTTAATAATTTAGAGTCCTTAAATGTAATAAACTCTCTTAGATGTCCTTAAATGCCATTTCCCCCTCAAATGGAAAGCCAGGTCACCGCCTAACAAAAGTCTGGAACACGGACTAATATAAAAAATTAATCTATCTATTAAAATCATAAAATTTCATGTAAAAAATACATTTTTTACTTTTCTAATAAGAATAAAAAAAGAAAAATAATAATAATAAAAATCACTTTCTTGCCAAATAGCAGAAACCCAACGGCTCCAACGTTTACCATTTGAGCAGCCCCATTGGCAGATGATCTTTGTCGTATTAAGTATGCTATTTTGTGCCCTCAATTATTAAGTCAAATATCACATTCTTAATACTAACGTGCGCCCACACCGACCTTTCTCATTGTTTTCATCACTCACTACTCTACGCTCCTCAGCACTAACCAAGACTATCCTTTTGACCAGTTTCTTCCTACCGGCTCACGTTAGACTCGTCCCCCCCGCTTGAATCACGGAGAGCGTCACCGGGAAAAAAAAACCTTTTTTTTTTTTGGTTTTTTTCTTTTATGAGATTGAGTTGAGTTTCTTTAAATAACGGTAATATAGAATGAGTGGTAGTTAACAAGCACTTGCTGAGAAGACCCAGATAGAGTGTCCCGGAAGTTTTCGGGTGGGTTTCTGAATAGTCAAGCTCCAAGTTGATTCTCCTGATGAGCAGATAGGAGCGCCCAGAGAAAGGTAAGACAATTATATGAGAACTCAATAAGAATTCGAATTTCATGTAAAATCTGAAACTTCCTTTTGTGATGTATCCTGGGTAAAAATGGGGAAAAGAAAAATGTGCTTCTTGTTTCATGTTTTTTCTGGAGAAATTCTGAGAATTGTTACCTGGGTTGGGGGCGGGTCTAGGGAAAATTTAATGTTTTAATTTGTCAAATGCCTGGTGTTCTGGGAAGCGTCTATGTAGATCTTATGGTTTATGAGTTTCTGGTTTTTCATCTATCTTGTGTTTTGAGGACTGGGTATGCTTTGAAAATTCATAATCTTGTATGGTTGTTGTCAAGAGAGTTAAGACTGTGGATGGATGCTTCTTACATAGAATCAGAGCTGGCAATGTATTCTTTGGGTGGTTTATTATTTAGTTCAACCTGAAATGAACTGCAGAAGACTTAGCTTATCAGGGGCAATTCATTGCGTAATTCAAGAGATTGAAGAGGCAAAAGTAGGACTTTTTCTCTCCAAAATGGAATTGTTGGTTCTTCTGTTTTGGATACGAGATGTTAATGGAGAAAAGGGGAAGAGATGATTCAGATATTGAGTTGTTTGAGGAGCTGAAGATCCAAATTATTGGAATGACTCAATTTTATGTTCATAACCACACATCTCTTTTGCAGTGTCTGGAAGAGGGAGAAATGGTAAAAAACACAGCCTACTAATTAAAATGTAATGTGAGTTTCTAAAATAAACATTCCAATCCCTTGAATCTGGGTTTGATTGCTAATCCCATTCTTTCGCTCAATTTCATTTTTCACTATACAACACGAGCAACTTTCTTCCCTTACTGTTTGGAAATGGATGTTATATCAACACTCTTCTTTTGCCATGGTATCACTGAGCAAAGAACTTATAAAATTACAAATCGCCCCTCTCAATTATTTCCCTACAAGATCGTGGATAATTAACTACTTTTCTTCTTTCAATTTTCTTTTCAAAGACATGATCTTTTGAATACTTTCTTTCCTCATCAAGGTTCACAAGTTACAGTTTTTTCCTTTTAATCTACAGAGTAGCCCTTGAGTGCACAGAATGTGCTGAAAGGTCGACCATGTTCTTCTGTACAAATTCTTTATTTTTGCCTGCCTTCTGTACAAGTTCATATGTGACACTTGCCATAGAACTTCGTGCAGTCAAAAAGAACTTCAAGACACTATTAGGCTGCAGAAGAGATTTCTGTTCGCTTTTAAGTATAATTACACATGTTAACTGACTCTTAACCCATGAAGTAATAATCCATGAGAGGGGGTAATGGTTTCACTAATTACCAATTTCTGAATGATAATGTACCGATTCCTAAAGTCAGGCTATTTCGTTTCCACCACTGCAATTTCAGTTTTAGCTTGGGGCCAAGCTGTAGAACCAAGAGATACTTGTTAGCTATGGATGATTATACTGATGAAGCTAAAGGTGGATCATATTTTGCGGAAGCAGCTTTTGAGAAACTCTACTCACTTGAAGGCTTCTCCACTAAGGAACATGATACGCAAGAGCTGGATGTTTTCTTGCAAGCTTTAGCAGAAGTTGACTTTTGCTTAGCATATTCTTCTGAGAAGCTGATGAACTTGCATAAATTGCTTATCCATCTGTTGAGCCAGGAAAACGATCTTGAAGCAGTGGATTTAAAGAATAACTGCATCTCAATAGACTTCATTGAAAAGGCATTTGCATTTGATATTTTGTTAGGCATATTAGATTCTGAGGTAAGAGAGCTGGACAATTTCATGGACACTCTTCAAGCTGAAATAGTTGATGCTCGTCATAAAATGCTTTCATGCAGAGATTTGAAATTTCCCTTCACAATGGAAGAAAAATTGCATGACTCTGAAGAGTCTGTGAAGGATTTTCAGCAGCAATTGTTGGAGTTGAAGATGCAGTCATCCATATTACGGAAAACCCTCGAGGCTTTTCAACATGAGAATTGTAAGTTGAAGGTTCTTCTTAGTTATTTTTGTTCTTAATTTCTGTTTAATCATTTTAATATGAAAATTGTTTCCCAGTCTTGGACAACTATTTAACCCTTTGAGACATCCATGCAAACAGGGGAAACAGGGAAGGGTATGAATTTATCAGAAAATGGCCAACTGACCAATACTAAAGTAGAATCAAATGATCAGATTGTTGAGCAGCGAAGATATATTCTTCGGATGCTAGAGAAGTCTTTAGCAAGGGAGGTAGATCTTGAGAAGAAGGTAGCAGAATCAAGAGAACATGAAGATCTAAAATTGAAACTACACTACACAGAACAATTATCAATGCGCATGGAAGAAGCTGCAGAATTTGTTTGGGGAAGATTTCTAGAGGCAGAAACTGCAGCTGAGATGCTCATGGGGATTTCTAAAGATCTGATGGGACGTCTCCAGATAGCTGAGCTTAACCTAAATGGTTCTACTCAACGAGAAAATGAGTTGAAATTAAAAGTTCAAACTTGCATAGAAGGACTCAAGGATAAAGATTCTTCTCTAGAGAAGCTTGAGCGTATTAATGCTGAGCTCATGAAGGAAAATTCTGAAGTGCAAGTTTTGAGGGAAAAGGTGAAAAATCTTGAAGAAGAACGAAAAGAATTCGAACTCCATCTATCCGCCGTAACTTCTGAGAATGAAACTAATCAAGAGCATCTTATTGAAATGGAAAATCATATTGAGTCATTGAAAGAAAGCATTTATACAGCAGAAACTAGGGCTGAGAGTGCTGAGGCGAAGGCTACACAGTTAACTGAGACTAACTTGGAACTTACTGAAGAGCTGCATTTTCTTAAAGGCATTGCTAGTAATGCAGAAAAAAAGGTGGGTTCACTAGAGAAGCAAATAAGGGAATCAGAGATTCAACTACAGAATGCAAAGGCATCGTCTGAAGCTAGCCAAGAACAGCAGAAAAAGTTATACTCAGCAATATGGGATATGGAATTATTAATTGAAGAGCTAAAATCAAAGGTATCAAAGCCGGAAAGTAAGACAGAAAGTGCAGAAGAGCCTTGCATTGTGTTATCAGAAACTAATGAAGAACTAATTAAAGAATTAGATCTCCTGAGGTCTAGAATTAAAAGCTTGGAAACATCTTTGGACCAAGCTAACAAGTCAAAAATTTCAAGTGCAAAAGAAATCAATGTTAGAACCAAGTTTATCATGGATATGGTCATGCAATTAACCATCGAAAGGGAACATGTCCATAAACAGGTAATGGCTTCCTCTATAATTTGCTAGTGCAATTTGACCTTTAGTTTGTGTAATGCTTTCTATTAAATTAAGCAGAAATTGCAATAAAAAATTATGATTCATAAAATTGATAGTAAATCATGAAGAGTGGAACTTATGCCACTACTTGCACCAGGGATTTTATTCTGAATGATGGAATAAGAATTTCCTTGGGAGACAGAACCCAAAAGGAAAATCATTTTTGTAAATTTCATTGCGTTGGTTGATTTATTTTATGATGTATTAGGAATTATTGATTATTCATCTATGGTCCATCATATGGAAAATCTAACGGGATGCTTTTATTTTTGGGGGCTGTATGTGCTTCATGCAGTTATGTACTTTAAAAATAGAGAACAGAAGTTTGGCAGAAAAGCTAAAGAATATGAAAAAGGATGTCCCTCTAGATTCCTGCCACGTTGGATTAAATAATAGCAATGATGATCAAGCTTCTAACGTTGACTCAAGCAATGGTAGCTGTACAAAATCATCTGATGAAGAAGGAAAAGATATTTTAAATCAAAATTTTCAGGTACTTTTTTTAGTCAGTCTGATATGTCCTGGTCCCATTCATGACCCTGACTGGAATTAGTTTATATTACAAAGTTGATCACCATTACCATATAATTTCTTGAACTCACTGAAGCTCAATTTATCAATATGTTATATATACCAGAATCATTTAAGAAACCGATGTTCTTTATTATCCTGCCCAGCTTGGTACCTTTTATTCTAGGCCGTAGTTAGTGTAATTCAAGTGTTCTTTAAGCCATCAGAATTCGCATCATTCTATTTCATTTTATGTTATCTTGGAATCTATGGTGGTGACACATTTCATTAATAAGAAGCAATATTGTATCTGTGATGTGAATATAAAAACACAGTTATCCTTGTTATATCCAACGAGACTAACTACAATATATATAGTTATCTAACGCCTGGTTTACTATATTTAGATTTAAATCAAGAATGATAGATCTGCTCATGGTATTGAAAACCGGACCGGACCGGCCGGGTCAACCCGGAAACCGGTGAACCGGTCCCCTGTCCGGTCTGGGTTTGCACTTAACCCGGTGAGGGAATGAACCGGTGTAACCCGGTCAACCCGGTATAACCCGGATAACCCGGTGGGTTGACTGGGTTAACCGGGTTAATATTTTTTCAGACTTTTACCCCAAAACGACGTCGTTTTTGATTTTTTTTTTCATTTTTAATTTTTCACAGCTCTGAGTTCGGAAAAAAATAACAAAAAAAAGTAAAATTAAAGTCAAAAAATAAAAAATTAGAGATAGAGCATGCTAAGTCCAAAAATATAGTATTTTATTATTGTTAGACTTTTGAGTGGTTGGATTTGGTTGAATGTTTTTATAATTAATGTCTTTTTATTTAAATTGTATTATTTTAATCATGACCGGTTTGCCACCGGTTCAACCCCCGGTTCAACCCTGATTGAACCACTAACCCGTGACCCAGTGCCATGACCGGTTTAATGACCGGTCCGGTTTTACGTACCTTGGATCTGCTATATTTAGGTTGTTTAAGGAATAACTTAGTGAGATCCAAGGCTTAATGAACCTACTTCTAGATTCGGTTCTTTCTGTCTATCTGGCCTCGTTTTGTTTTCATAAATTTTCCAGTTTGCAAGGGTAATTGTTAAAATTGATCAATAATCAATTAGTTTCCATATTTATCATATTCTAATAATTAGATATTGTAATTACTTTGGAAATTATAAAAATTTGTGAATTAGCATATTTCACTATCTAAAGTTTGTAAATCTAGACTCAGCATTGATAGATTGAAATGCAAAAATTGGGATTAAAACTTTTTTCTTCTTTGCAATTTTCTTCCCTTGCTTAAATTTTTTTGGTTTCAACAATCAGGTGGATGAACCATCCGAAGATGCAAGCTCTGAAACTAAAGTAGAATCTTCCATTCCATCAGAGAAGTCTGGAAAATTTGGCACCTTAGCATTTTTTTCAATGGCAATTATTGTGCTACTGGCTTCTTTTTTAGCCACCTTCTTGTTTGATAAAGAAACCTTACAATTTTTGAGAACATTTGATGGTTAAGTCATGACTTGATGACTTGACCATTCAAGAAATTTGCTTCTTGTGCTCTTGTGAAGTCATTTCACTTCTGTATTGTGTGTTCATATATTTATGTAGCCATAGTATTGGTGTAATTCATTGTCACAATTGATTTGTACATAATTTTATCAGCATTTCAAGAATCTGCATTTGTTGAATTTTCAAATAATGTAAAAAAATATATGAACTGAGATGTGCTGTAGTCATCCAAAGAATCCAAGAATCAGAAAAAGGGAAGCTTGTTCATGCATAGGTTGTCAGTGTAGATCTTAATTGTTGTTTCATATACAAAAGGAAGTCTCTTTTTTTGGGTCAAGAGCAAAGAGTATACAAAAGAGCTTAAAAGAGTGAAAAGCTCACAGGATTTTGAAAAGTCGACACATTTCCTGATTTAAGATATTTGAGAATTGATAAAATATTGTTTTTAGTAAAATAAAAAAAAATGCGATTTATGTCTCAAAGGCTCACCAAAACTTCAAAAATTACTTATTAAAGTACTTTGTTTTTGATACAATTATTTAATATTCAGTATTATTAAATTCGATTTGTGTATTGTCAACCGTAGTCATTGTGTTTGGCCAAAAAAACCGTAGTCATTGTGGCTTGTTGCCTTGCTATATTATAATAGTGTCCCGACTAAATAAAGTTTGCCTGCATGTAATTCAAATTCATGGAAGATCTATTTTGTGATCATAAATTCATGAGAAGTAACAACCTCAATACATATGAGTATCAATATTTTCTCATTTCACTTATAATATAAATATTAAATGCATAGGTAATGTGTAAGAAACTGATTGATCAATATTCTTTTCCTTTTTTTTTTAATTATTGAAGCATGGAAAGTTTGGAGAATTTAGCAATTTACAACGGACTCAAGGAGATAAACCCCCTTTCAAATATTCAAACACTAAAAGTTTAAAAACAATGTAGATTCTAAAATATTTTTTCTGACGTATAAATAAATAATGAGGGGGAAATGTCAAGTGTTGAATTGTGTTTTTTTTTTAATTAAAAGGCTGAATTTATGCATGTATTACAAAATATATTTTATAATAGTAAGTCAGTAAGATGTTTGATATAAGCTTCATATACAGTTTGAAGTTAATACATCACTTATTGTTGTTAAATGGATTATATATAAAAACATTAAACGCAAATGAGTTTTGAGGTTCTAAATTGACTTTGCAAACCTGAAGTTTTATATTTATTTGGATGACTTAAAATTCATTTGTGCAAAATGAAATATTACTCTAAAACTGGGTTTTAAAAACAGGGGAAAAATTTATTACTTTGCAGAAAATTAGATTTTATAAAGGAAGAATGACAAGCAAGGACTTTGTAAGAGTTAAAAACTTTAGTATTGAAATATGATAGAAAAAGTATTGAAATTTAGAAACATCATTGTTAAAAATTTTTAATTTGACATTTTATTTGTCATTATTTCTTTGATTATAAATGAAAAGAGAAGTTGTGGGTATGGGTTAACAACCAGTTACACATTAAAGAAATTTCATAAAATTCAGTAACAACCTCAAAGCAGCGCATCTGGTGTAGTGGTATCATAGTACCCTCCCACGGTACTGACCGGGGTTCGATTCCCCGGATGTGCAATCTCTTTCTCTCCCTCTTTCTGTGTCTAAAATTTTGTTAACTTCTCATCTATGCCATTCAATTGACGCATTTTCTGAATGTAGACATAGCCGCCACTTGCAAAAAGAAAAATAGTAAAACTTCAACATCAGAGTTAAAATGTAGGGAAAAAACTTATACATTTAACCTTGTTTTATATATTTAATATACTTATTTTTAATTAAATTAAGATATGTAAATTTTGCATAGATTATTTATTTTATAATAAATTTTTATTATTAATTTTATTAATATATTAAGATTCACTTATCATGATTTAATTGAATATAAATATATTAAGTATATAAGACTAAGTAAATAAGTCTTACCATAAAATATAATATATATGTCAATTATTGTTGAATCTAGCTAAATGGACTAGTTCTTCATAATGTAACAAATTAATATTCAAAAGCCTATTAGGAGAGGTATTCTCTAGTGTTTGATTGTATATTAAATATAATTGTTTTCAATAAGAGAATATCTATATGTGACTAAAAAAGAGTAGGAAAGAACAAGAAAAAAAATACAATCTTTGATCCTTATAATTTTATTAGGTTTTATTTTTAGTTTATGTATTTTTTTAGTATTTTTAGTATCTATAGTTTTAGAAAGATTGAGCAATTTTTGTTTTCTAGGCTCCTATAATTTTCATTTTTTAGTGGTTTTAGTTTTTATAAGAATTGAAAACGTTAAAAAAAACTATAGAGATTAAATGCAAAACCTGATGAAGTTATAGAGATCAAAGATTGTGTTTTTTTCAAAGAAAAATAAATGTTTAAATACGTTTATGAATGAATGTTTAGCTTAATTAGGCTTGAGTTAGAAAACATCTTTGGGAAAATAAGAGAAGTATTCGGTTTCGAATTTGATCTCATCTAATTCATGTTACTTGAAATTCATTATAACTCCAAATATAAGGTGATTTAGTGTATAAGAAAAAAATTGGAAAGTCAAAGTGAAAAACTGTGTAGTGCTTATGACAATACTAATCAAATGATTATGAGGGATTTTATAGTGATTTTGCCTCACAATACCTTTTCTTTTAGTTTTTTTTTTTGTTCCTTGGAGGACAATCATCTCAAGTAAGAGACAGAAGACACGCTATCCTCTTTTGAAGCCATACCTCAGGTCATTGCTTTGTCTTTATCAAACACTAATGACATGAATTATATACGTTACTTAGCATTTTTTTAAAATATAGATACCTTTTCTACTTTTTTTAAAATATAGAGCTTTGTTATTTTTCACTTTAATTTCGTTTTAATTTGTATTGAAAAAAACACATTTTTCCCAAAAAAATTGGATGCCAGTCTTAGTGTAGAATTTTTCCTTTGTCAAAAGCAAAGAAAGATCACTCCTACTAATAAAACCGTGCAATTTTCTTCTGGTAAACTCCAGTTAATTCAGTTTTTTACTTTATAACGAAGTGACCATGAAAATATAAAGCCAACTATGCAGGCAAGTATTCTTTATTGGTATCTTAAGTATTTCCAAGCAACTGCAGCTAACTTGATTATATTAATTACTTTTGCTTTTCGTCAATAGACAGCCTGGGTACCATAATGCTGCTCTCAAACATAAGGTTTTGCGTTAACTTGAAAGAAGCACAAAATACATTACACAAAATTCATAGAATATTAATAGGTACATCCCACTTACTATATTTTAGTACATGTAACGAAAGACAATTAACTTGCCTCCAATAACTATACCATGTGTCATTGTGTTGTAGTTGAGTGAGAGGAAGATCTCTCCCTTAATCTCTCACACTTAGTACATAGTTCAGTAATGAAGGAAGATCTCTGTCTTAGTTGTAAGATACTATCTTAATAGTTTCATGGTTGTGATAAACCTAAATTGTCTGTTGGATACTTATAATGATATAAACTGACTAATCCTTTTGCTACTGCAAGAATCGCTATATCAGGCCTTAATCAATAACATGTTGGTAAAGTTGTTGTCCATGTCTGGTTCGTCATGCAGAAGATTGGTCTGTCTTCTGCAGGATAGATGAGAACCTCCAAGCTGCATGTAGAACTTTGTCAAGCAATGAGACACTGACTAGTCTGTAATTTTGAAATACATGAAGAAAATGGGGTTGGGAAAAGGATTAAACACGTATCTCAGGGAAAAAAAGAAAAGGAAAAAACAGTAAATCCTTGCACTTTGATTGTATTTTTTTTAATTTCTGTAGTTTTATTTCATTTTTTTTTAGTTCCTTTTGTTTGATCTATCTGTAACGTTAATCTCTATAATTTTAAAAATGTACATAAAGACAAAGCTAGCATTGACAGAATTAATTTTGCTGTAAATAAACTAACCTTATTGCTGATGAGAGGATAAAAAATATACTGATATAGAAATAAATTGACTAGATATGATTACAAATAAAAGGTAAGGGAAAAAGCTTTTTTGTATATTTGGATTAAACAGACTGCAGGAGATGAAAACCAGATTAAGTACACATCAATAAAGGAATTAAAATATAGTTAAATACACATCGACAAATTGAAGTGTTTGGTGTTAAATGAAGACTAAAATAATAAGTACAGAAATGAACAGATGTTCGTTTTCCATGAATCTATATCACAGAAATGCAGAGATCATGCAAAATATCTGATGAAATGTCTAGCAATAGCTTACATGACTTACTTGTATTGTGTTATCCAAACTGATCCGAGATTGCTGGTCAATGGTCGGTTTCTGGAAAGTATGAAGCCATAAATAGACATAATGCCTTAAAGAGAATTAAAGAAATTCCCTCATTTGGGCTATTTTCTTTGGCTCAGGAAGCCATATCTTTAGACCTATAGAGCCATAGACCATTAATAAGCAGGCCTCATAGACTCTAAAGATATACATATCCATGGCTAAATTTCTTACCACATAGACCAATGATGTAATATGATTCAGAAGGGGTGTGTAGTGGATCTCACCACCTAAAACACCAAGTTAAGTGAGGTTTAATTTCCACCTATATTGGGTGTAAAGGTTTGTTATATAAACACAGCTTAAGGCCTTATTCCTGCAGTTGCCATATAAAAGGTTGTTGTCAGAGAAGTGATAATTGAGGATACATAGTAGTTTGGCTAGAGTGAGAAACCATGACAAAATAACTGGCAAGGTTTTCAAATATATTTTGCCATGGTGGGATAACATTTCATATAAATGGTAATCCCTCAGCGAAGTATATAGAACTATGCAAGTTGGAGATAAGGGTAAAGTAAATGGTCCTAGGACATGCCATCACATATAGGGATGGCTGCATAATGTAGAAGCCACAACATCTCATTTACTTAGTATAATGATACTTACCTGCCTAAATTGAGGCGATAATCAATAGATCATTCTGTCTAAATTAGGCAATAATCAATCGATCATTTTACTAAGTTCAGAGGTTTTGAAGCTCCTACAGATTCATAGTCTTTATGCAAGACAAGATCTGAGGAAGGCTAACATGGGGAAAGCCCCAG